GCCTTTCTTGGCTTCTGTGATTCCAAAAACATTGACGGCTGACATGTCTCTTAAGTTTTGGTGTCCCCAACTTGGAAATATATTGATACAGATACAAATATAGATATAGATAAAAATATAGAAAGACAGACATAGACATACATAGATCGATATATAGATATAGATATAGATGATATAGATATAGATGATATAGATATAGATGATATAGATATAGATATTCAAATATTGTGATGATTCTGAGGATGACCAGTATCAGGTACTGTTTATTTCTTCAATGCATAGGACAAGATATTTGAATAAAATCAATGGTGCGAACAATAACAACTATAACAAGCATATTGATTGCATAAGTTGTGGATTGCTAGCTAACTGGTTAAGTAATTTTGGAATCACAGTTTGATTTTGATATTTTGAAGATCTTTTCAGAGGCAACAGCTGTGTATTGACATATTTAATCAGTTCTTATACCTTATATGTTTTCTACTATTCAAGTTTTACAATTTTTTTAACAGGAGAAGTATTTGGAATTATCATATCTAGCTATTAATGATAGAGAGGAGAGGCTCAGAGCAGATTTTAGTGATCATTATGGGAAAGATGATGAGGAGTGGAAATCTCATATTTACAGAAGGAAGAATAGGCAGAAAGTATAGAAGTATATTTGGTCAGGGGTAAAGTCTTAGAGGAACCTCTGTGGGCAGAGATCAGTGATATAAGAGAGCAACTGATCTACAGTGGTGGGATGCTCATAGGATTGAGTTATGAGACCCAGTTAGTTATGAAAAGGGAGAAATAAAGGCTAGAGAAGCTCATAAGAATTGGACCTCTCAGAAGTCTGGTTCTTCAACAATTGGAGGTAAGTTGGATATCTTCACTTTGTTGGATCCTATAAGAACAGAGTTAAATCCCAGAAAGTGCCAAAAGATAAAGGACAAATTATTACTCAGGAAAAGTTTGTGGTCCATACAAGATACCATATCAAGAGGAGACATCAGCCTCTCCTGGAAAACTGTCTTCTTGTGTCAGCATTGTGCTGCAAATAGAAGAGAAGGAGCCCTAAGCCACAAGAACTCAGTCCTTGATCCAAAGGACATTTTTTTCAGAACCATATAAGATAGAAACCCTTCCCTAATACTAATACATGTTATTTGGACTTATAGATTTCTAAACTGAAGAGATACTTGCCACAGCATAAGAAACTGGCAGCAGTATGAAATATTTGGAATCACAGAAGTCCAGAAGTCTTGAGACCTAAGCAATCCTGTCAAGGGCTGAATAAGGTAAGAGAGTTGTTGAGGGAGGGAGGTTGAGGGAGGTTTTGGAGGGAGTGCAAGGGAATACTGGTAGAGTAGCTAAACGGGTGGGTCAAGACACATATGATAAGTGTGGGTAGTAACACTGAATCTATTGGTTACTTCTATAATTGGGAAAATATCTTTCATCTGCTCCTTTTGGTAAAATGCTTGTCAGATATTGTTCTAAATCTGAGAATTCTAATTAAGACAGATTAGGAAGAAGGATTGGCCACGTTTGGCCTTCAAAAACACTATGTACAATAGAGCACAATTAAAACTGATGCTGAACTGAGCCCTCAAATACGGAAACACAAAGAAGGAGGAGCAGTTGTAAGCAGACACTAGTGATTGGAACATGGAATGTAGGAAGCATGAATGTAGGAAAATTAGACATTGTTAAGAAAGAAATGGAACACATAAATATTTATATACTAAGTGTGTCGGAAAACTCTATGAACATTGAAAATGTCAATAGTTGTAGAGGGGTTTCAGGCCTTTTGGTTATAGGGTCGCTATGAGTCAGCTCAACTCGAAGGCAATCAACAACACACCAACAAAGTATTGGTGAAAAGAGTTGGACTGACATGGGGCTTTTTGAATCAGACGTTCATATAATCTAATATGCCAGAGATAAAAAGGTAAGGAAAAATGGAGTTGATTGATAGTTAAAAAGTAATTTCTAGATCCATCTTGAAATACAATGTTGTGAGTGACAGGATAATATCCTTACACATACAAGGAAGTCCAGTGAATACCACTATAATTAAAATATATGCACTAACATCTAGAGCCAAAGAGGAAGACGTAGAAGATTTCTTCCAATTTTTTCTGTCAAAAATTCACCAAACATACAATCAAGATGCATTAATAATAATGAATGACTGGTATGCAAAAGTTGGGAACAAGGAAGAAGGAGCAGTAGTCAGAAAGCTTGAACTTGATGACAGAAATGAAGCTGGAGATAGAATGATGGAATTCTATACTTTCGATGGATTATTCATTGCAAATATTTTTTTAAGAAACACAAGCACAGGCTGAACATATGGTTTCACCAGATGGTATGCATAAGAATCAGATAGATTACATCTGTGGAAAGAATCACTCAAGAAGCTCAGCTCAGTATCAATTGTGAAAACTAAGCCAGGTGCTGCCTGTGGACCAGACCACCAACTACTCATGTGCATGTTCAATCTGAAAGATAAAGAAAATTAAATCAAATCCTCAGGAACCAAAAATTGACCTTGAGTCTATCCCATCTGAAATTCAAAACCATCTCAGGAACAGGTTTAAGGCCTTGAAAACTAATGAGTGAAGATCAGATGAGTTGTGGGAGAATATCAATGGTATTATCCAGGAAAAGTGCAAAAGGTCATTACAAATGCATTACAAAAGACCAATATAGATGTCAGAAGAGACTGAAGATTGCACTGGAATGTCAAGCAGCCAGAGCCAAGGGAAGAAAACAAAAAATTAGGAAGCTGAACAGAAGATTTCAAAAGGCAGTGTGAGACGAAAAAAATATAGTACTATAATGAAATGTACAAAGAGCTGGAGTCAGAAAACCAAACGAGCCAAACTTGCTTGGCATTGCTTTAGGTGAAGGAATTGAAGAAGAGATTCAAACCTTGACTCGCATTACTTAAGGAGGTTTTGGGGAAGAACATTAAACAATCCAGGGAGCATTAAAAGAAGATGGAAGGAGTATACAGTCATTCTATCAAAAGGAATTGGCAAATACAGAATAATTTCAGGAAACAATCTATGAGCAAGAGCCTGTGGTGATGAAGGCAGAAGTTCAAGCTGCTCTGAAAAAGAAGGCAAAAAACAAGGCCCCAGGAATAAATAGCATGCCAATTAGCATAGTCAACAGACAGTGCTATAGATGCACTCACCAAGTTGTGCTAAGAACTCTGGAGCAATGAAAGAGATCTATACAAATATAGAGCAAATTCCCATTCCAAAGAATGACCCAACAGAGTGCAGACATTATTGAATAATGTCATTAATATCACATGCAAGCAAGATTCTGCTGAAGATTATCCAAAAACGACTGGAACAACACATCAAGAGAGAGCAGCCTGAGGTGCAAGCTGGGTTTAGAAGAGGTGGTAGAAATAGTATGTCATTGCTAATGTTAGGTGGATCTTGGCCAAAGGCAGAGAATACTAGAGGAATATCTATCTGAATCTCATTGACTATGCAAAGACATTTGATTTTGTAGATCACAATAAATTGTGGCTCACGTTAAGAAGAATGGGAATCCCAGAATACTTGATTGTGCTTACGTGAAAACTTATACTTGGACAAGGAGGCAGTCGTCTGAACAGTGCAAGGAAACAGTGCATGGTTCAAAATCAGGAAGGGTGTACATCAGGGATGTATCCTATCTCCATAACTTTTCTATCTATATGCAGAAAAGGTCATTTGGAGAGCTGGGCTTTATGAGGAGGAGTTTGGATCAGTATTGGAGGAAGACTCATCAGCAACCTACATTAGGCAGATTACACAACGCTGCTTGCTGAAACTCAGGAGGACCTAAAGTGCTTGCTGCAGAAGGTCAAGGACTGTAGTCTTCAATATGGATTGAAGCTCAACATCAAGAAAACAAAAATTCTCACCACTGGTTCAATTGGCAGCATCATTATAGATGGTGAAGAAATTGGGATTGTTAACAGCTTTACTTTGCTTCGCTAAACAATCAACAGTCTTGGTAGAAGCTGCCAGGAAATCAAGACTAACTTCATTGGGAAAGTTGGCTGTCAGGGACCTCTCTGGAGTACTGAAGAGCAATGATGCCAGTTAATCTTTCAGGGTTTTTGTTGTTGTTTACTTTGAGTTTGTTTCCAAATTGAATGCTTTGTTATTGTTATGTGTCATAGAGTTGCCTGTTACTCATAGCGACCCTATGTATGTTAACTCTGAACCATTCCCTATCCTGAGCCAATCTCATTGTCTCATACAGACTTAATCTTATGCTCTATTCACTGAGTTAATCCATCTGATCCTTGCCTTCCTCTCATGTGCTGTCCCTCCACCCTTATATATATGATGCCCTTCTTCAAGAACTGGTCCCTCTTGGCTACATACTGAAAGTATGTTAGTTGGTGCTTCAACAACCTTACCTCCAAGGAGCAGCTTGGTTTCACCCCCTCCAGAACAGACCTGTTTTATCTCCTTCAGGTCCACAGTTTGTTCAGCATTCTCCTCCAGCAGCCCAACTCAAAGGCATCGTTCCTTCTCCTATAATCCTTCATTATTGTTCAGTTCTCAGATATATAGCAAGTAATTGCAAAGACCATGACCTGGATCAGGCACACCTTAGTCTCCATAATGACATCATTGCTTTTAAGTACTCTAGAAAGGTCCCTGACAGCCAACTTTCCCAGTACAGCTTGTCTTTTAAGTTCCTGACTGCTAGTGCCAAGATTGTGGAAACAAGCAAGCTGAAGTTCTTAATAATCTAAATCTTTTATATCTAAATATGAAGCTGCCAATTGGCCCAGTGGTGAGAGTCTGTTTTCTTGATGTTGATCTTCAATCCATATTGAAAACTGTAGTCATTGACCTTTTGTAGCAAACACCTCATGTCCTCAGTTTCATCAAGTAGTTTTGTGATCTGCATAACTCAGCTTGTTGATAAGTCTTCCTCAAGTCCTGATGCCACACTCCTCCTCATAAAGTCCAGTCTCCTGAATGATCTGTTCTGCAAATGTTTTGAAAAGATAATGAAATAGAATGTGTTCCTAATGCACACCTTTTCTGATGCTGAACCATGCAGTTTTCCACTACTGTGTTCTGAGGACTGCTTCCTGGTCTGTACTTTTCTCATGAGCACAATTAAGTATTCTTAAATTTCCATATTAATGTTAGTCATTATTTGTTTTGGTCCACACTGTCAAATGCCTTTGCATAGTTAATGGAACACAAATAGACATTCCTATGGTAATCTGTTATGTCCCTGTTCAGTCTGATAAAGATACAACACTAGGTAGTGGATATAATGGAATAATCCAACTTTTCACAATCAAGAGAATTCCTTATTATTTCTAACTAGTAGAGAATAATAGAGAAATGAAGAGCTTTTTTACGCACTCTTTTGTTTTCAGTTGGTACTGATGGGCCATGAAGTGGGAACTTGCTTATAGTGGACCAGCCAGTGGGTTTTTAAAGACAGTATATTGGATGAAATGAGATAGTCTATTTTGTGCTGAGCATTTAATGGATTTGATATGCATTCATTTGAGTTGACAGAACAACTCTTTCATTGCAATTGTGAAATATTTTCCTTTTTAAAAAATAAATTTAGTATAAATCATAAAACCTAATGAACAGTTATTGTTTTCTAAATACCTCTTCTTGGTATAAACTGGTGAGCACATCCAGAATAGCATGGTTTTTGAAATGTCAATTGGTATGCCATCAGTTCCTGGGTCCATGTTTTTTACTAATTCTTTCAGAGCTGCTTGAACTTTTTCCTTCATCATCACAAGCTCTTGCTCATATATTGTTTCCTGAAATTATTCTCTGCCTGCCAATTCCTTTTGGTACTTTGGTATATACTCCTTCCATCTTTTTTTAATGCTTCCTGGATCATATAATATTGTGCGCAGAGCATCTTTAAGTATTGCAACTCAAGGCTTGAATTTGTTCTGCAGTTCCTTCAGCTTAAGAAATGCCGAGTGAGTTTGGCCCTTTGATTTTTCTGACTCCAGCTCTTTGCACTTTTCATAATAACACTTTACTTTCTCTATCCGAACTGCTCTTGGAAATCTTCTGTTCAGGTCCTTAATATCTTGATTTATTTCCTTTGCTTTGCATTCTTAGTGATCTACTGCAATATTCATAGGTTCTTCTGACATCCTTCTTGCCCTTTTCTTCCTCCTCTGTATTTGTAATGACCTTTTGCATTTTTCCCGGAAAATATTCTTGACATCCTCCCACACTACACTAGTCTTTGCTCATTATTGTTCATTGCGTCAGAGCTGTTCCTGATTTGAAATTCAGGTGGGCTAGAGTGAGGTTAAATTTTTGCTCACGTGGATTTGATTTAATTTTCTTTAGCTTTAGCTTGAGCTTGCATTTTAGTAGTTGATGGTCTGTTCCACAATCAGCACCTGGGCTAGTTTTCACAGCTGATATTGAGCTAATCCAGTGATTCTTTCCACAGATGTAATAAATCTGATTCCTATGTTTACCAGTATAGCCTGCATTTATGTTTCTTGTTCATTTGCAATAAATAAGTCTGGATAAGCACCTGGCCAACTGACTGGACGAGATCTATATTTGTTCCAATTCCAAAGAAAGGTGACCCAATAGAGTGTGGAAATTGTAGAACAATGTCATTAATATAATATGCAAGCAAGATTCTGCTGAAATTTATCCAAAAATTAGTGGAATGACACATCAACAGAGAACTGTCTGAGGTGCAAGCTGGGTTTAGTAGAGGTTGTGGACTATGGATATTATAGCTAATGTTAGATGAATCATGACAGGGAGTTCCAGAGCAATGCCTATTTGTGTTTCATTGACTATCCAAAGGCATTTGCCTGTGTGGACCACAACCGACTGTGGCTGATTCTGAGAAAAATGGGAGCCCCAGAACACTTGACTTTGCTTATGCAAAACCTATACTTGGACAAAGAAGTAGTCATTAAAACAAATAAAGGAAACACTGTAGGTTCAATGTTGGGAAGGGTATACACCAGGAATGTGTCCTTTCCCCTACCTTTTCAATCTATATGCAAAATAGATTGTCCAGTAGTTTGGACTGTATTAGGAAAAATGTGGCATCAGGATTGGAAGAAGTCTCAACAGTGTTATGCAGATGTCACAACCCAACTTGCTGATACTTAGGAAGACCTGAAGCACTTGCTGCAGAAGGTCAAGGGCTACAGCCTTCAATATAGATTGAAGTTTAACATCAAGAAAACAAAGATTTCACCACTTGGTTGATTGGCGGCATGATGATAGATGGTGGAAAAAGACTGAGATTGTTAACAGCTTTAGTTTGCTTGGCTCCACAAGTACACTCTTGGTACAAGAAGCCAGGAAATTAAAAGACAAATTGAATTGGGAAAGTCTGCTGTCAGAGACCTCTCAAAAGTACTGAAGAGCAACAATATTAGTCTAGACACTAAGTTGCACCTTATTCAGGCTATAATCTTTGCAATTACTTGCTATGCATCTGAGAACATGACTGACTAGGGATGATAGGATGAAAATTGATGCCTTTAAGCTGTGGGCTAGAGAATAGTATTGAATATACCATGGCTGCGAGGAGAACAAACAAGTTCTTCCCAGAAAGGGTTAAACCAGGCTTCTCCTTGGAGGCAAGGATTCTGAAGTTTCACCTGTCATACTTCGGATATGTTTCAAGGAGGGATCAGTCATTGGAGAGGGACATCATGATTGGGAGGGTAGAGAGACAGCAAAAGAGAGGAAGACCCTCAGTGAGATGAATTGATTCAGTGCCTGGGGTTAAGGGGGTAGTTAGATTGGCATATGCTAGAGCAGGATATAGGGCTGTTGTACATAGAGTCACTATGAGTCACAGGCAACTCGACAGCATATAACAGCAACTTATTTACTTACTCATATGTTGCTTTTAAATATCAGGCTTTTTTATGTAAAAAAAATAAATAAAATGGCATTCTTAAAAATGATGACCACATCAGTTCTCAAAACACTGAGTCATCACATTACTAAATTATGTAGTTTGTTAAAGGCAAGTAAATGCTAAAAATAACACTGAGAATCCGTCTATTAAAGTTGACATATTATCTTAGAAATCACAATCATGATATTCCTGTTTTGGAAAACTCTTATGCCCAAAACTATGACATAGTAGATTTATATCCTATTGCTGAAATGTGAAATTCTTGATACAGGAATAGTTCAATGAAGGATAGTTGTAATTATTAGGACTCATTTTATTCATCTTTCAAATGTTAATGTGGTAATACCTAACTTATATGGTCACTTAAAGGATAATTAAAGAATATGAGTAGATTCCTCAGAACAGTAATTTTGTACATTATAAGTATTACATGAAAGTGTTAATATTAAAGGATTTATAAGACTTTTTTTGTACATGAATAAATATTTTTTATAATTAGTTAAAATGTAATTTTATTACTAAAACAGCACCAAATTAATATTTACAGTAGATTATTAGCATGGAGGCCCAGAGAGGAGATACCACTTAACTTCGGGGCACATGAGAAGAAGGAGCAGGGGAAGGATTCGAACTTGGGCCTGTGAGCAGAACAGTTTCCTGTCTATCTTAGCTATCTTACCCAAGGCCTGCCTCCCTCTAGACCAGGGTCTCTCTCTTTGCTTGGCTCCATAGTCAACAGTCTTGGCACCAGCAGCCAGGAAATTAAAAGGCGCATTGCCGTGGGAAAGTCTGCTGTTATGGACCTCTCCAAAGTGCTGAAGAGCAGTGGTGTCTCTCTGGAGACTAAGGTGCATCTGAT